TGTCTGACACCAGTAAGGATGAGTTATGTGGGCATCTGGAGTTAAGTACCCTGATATTCAACACTGTCAGTGCAGAGAACCACAACCCACAGAAAGGAACGTGCAGCTCTTGTCCACAGTAGATTGATGGACCAGTGGTTTAATGCAAGTTTGAATTAAAGGTCGAGATCTGACAGTGGGGGTGTGCTCCAGATGCCAACAACGGTAGGTAAAACCCCACATCAGCTTAGGACCACTGAGTTAGGAAATGGAAACTCGTGGTGGACAAAAGGAGCGTAGCAACAGCAATGGACGTGGTTCTTGCCAAGCAGCTGGTATATTAAACTCTAAGGTTTTGGCCTTTGCTTGTGCCTTGTCCTGGAAGGAAAGGATGATGCTTCACTGCTTCTCAGCCTCCAGCCCTCCCCAGGACTAGTTCAGGACCAGATCAGTTCTATGGGCTAAGAAGAAATCCCTGCAGCTTCTCCAGCCCTGAGCAGTCAGTCACAAAGACCCTGGTCCACGACCATTACCAAGGTAAATATGTTTGGAGATTTGTTTGGGCAATTACAGTCATTTTAAAAACAATGTGTAAGAATGGACAAGACTCCAATAAGCCATTACTAATATTATTAATGCCACTTTAGAACATGAATGCATCTGGCTTATCCAGCTGATCCAGCGAGTTTAGTTCTGTAAATAACAGCAGTGATACAGGCAGAATTTGCATCCTGGGCATTGCCAATGCCTAATAATAGAGGCAATAAATGGGCTCTGGTGAACTGCTCTCGTACTACCAACCAGGTTCTCCCTTGACATGTTTTGTGTTCATTTTCCTTTGCTCTGTGAGAAACTGTTGAGTAGAATGGAGCTGGTTAACCCCTGAGTACGGGACACCATTACAAAGGGGTTTTGAAGACTTTGAAGTGTGCTCTCTGCCAATTATAACTTGCAGCAGGTACGGCACTCCCAGCCTATGGAAAGGCCATTTCCCCATCAGTTTCCCCTACTATTTTCAGTAGCACAATTTTCCTTCTTTCACTTTCATCCCTTTGGAAAATGTCACCAGTCTGGAGTTAGCTGACTGACCACGGACCTTGTGAAGAGCCAGGCCCACAACAGCACCACAGGGTGCTGTGCAGGGTCAGCAGCTGCAGAGATCCACAGAAAGGGGAAGAGCAAATCTGGGCTCCCCTGGGCATCCAGTACCTGGCCTCGCATGTGAAACACAGGATGCAGCATCTGGCTGAACTCTGGGACAGGGCAAAAGGGAAGGACACATAGGCTTGACCTTGAATGTAAGAAAGCTTCTCATCTCAAGCTGAGCTGGTGTTTCCTGGGCTCCATGTGGCAAAGAGACTCGTGGCACTTTGGCAGATCCTGATCCCACCATGGTATCACTAAGATGGGTCAGATGGGTGACTTGCTACTTGAGTCTATTTCTTTCCACTATAACATGCTCACAGATGAGCTCAGATGATGACACCTCTCTTGTGCCCAACTACCCTGCCCTGTTGCCCTGCTCCAGATCAGCCTCAGATCTGCCCTGGATGTTGTACAAAGCTCTGCAGCTCTGCCAGCCCCAGAGCCCCAGCGCTGTCTGTGCCAGCTTTGGGGATAGGGCTTTTCAATGCTCAGACCCTTCCAGTCAAATGAGCGAAGAACGGGAAGGAAATGCCAAGTGGGCACCTATCTCCAAGAGCTCACACCCAGACACGTTCACCTTTGACACATCCATCTCTCCTAATGCACAGCCTGGCCAGCTGTATTTAACTGCCTGGGTAAGGCAGATAGAGCTGGAAAATCTCATCCCTGTCAGGTCTTTTTCTTGCCCTAAAGCACCAAATTATTCACCATCCCCTCGTAGCATTTTGCAGCCAACTCTTTCCTGGGATGCTTTTCAAAGGATGAAGAATGAGCACCCTGGTGACATTTCTAGTATCTATAAATATCTCCCCACCACCCTGCCTGCCCAACTGGTGAATTATGCAGGAAGATATATATAATAAAACAATGGGATCCATTTTGTTGTCAACATCCCGTTCTTCAGCTGGCAAGGGAACAGCCAGGCTGTTGCTCTGGAAAGAGCGAGTGATGCCTGGGGAACTACTTAACGTCTCTTTGCCGGTAGGCAGGTATGGGGCACGTTGGAGGGCAGCACTGAGCAGAGACTGGCCCTGGAACGCTGGAGAAAGAAAGAGGGGCTGTAAAAGAGAAACAGCATGAAGTTTAGGGCAGTAACAGTCACCAGAACGGCAGGAAGCCCACATCGAGCACTGAGAAGCTTGTGCTAAAAGAAGCACTGAAGAAACACCAAAGCAGCACTAATCCAGCAATGTTATCTGGAGCACGATGCACTTAACTCCACATTCTGGTCCTGCTTTTATGTGTTTCGGAAGTTTAGATTGGATATAAGGAAGAAGTTCTTTACTGTAAGGGTGCTGAGGCACTGGAATGGGTTGCCCAGGGAGGTTGTGAATGCTCCATCCCTGGCAGTGTTCAAGGCCAGGTTGGACAGAGACTTGGGTGCCATGGTTTAGTGTGAGGTGTCCCTGCCCATGGCAGGGGGTTGGAACTGGATGATCTCAAGGTCCTTTCCAACCCTAACTATTCTATGATTCTATGATTCAGCAGCGCTCTATTTATGCAACTAAAGCTCCTGCATGGTGAAACACGTGGAGAATTTAATGCTCCCAAACATGCAAAGCTGAGGGAAGTGACCGGTTTACATTCATATCTAATTGGCATCATTTAAATTGGGAGGGATTTAAGTTACTAGCATAGCTTTCCCTAGCTATCAGCCCTCCTCCAGCCAGACACTGTTCTATAGCATAGCCTGCAGAATCTGGTGCCTCATTTATGAGTTAAGAGGCATTTTAAAATAGAAGTTTAGGACAGCTGTATCCTTTGCATTACGTATTTGCAGATGTGCCCTGCTAAGCCATAACTCACTGCTTCATCATTAGTTCTTGGTGCCTCCAAGACACTGCCTCCAATGAAACCAGGTCAGTACCTGAAAGATTTCCCAGCTCACCTTCATTTGGATAGTTGCTGTTTTCCAGGAGTACAAAGACAAGATGATTCCTGAAGGATCACGCTCAGACCATGAGTGTTGCTGTGGATGTCCTGAGGAGGTAAACCCTGAGGACTTCACCCTCCTGCATTATTTTGGGTAAGAGAACAACTGTGATGCACTAGATGGGCAGAGTTGACCATGTCCCCATCAGTGCGTGCTGAGGCCACCCATGAAGTTGTCCAGCTTCACACACTGCCCACAGAAAGGCTGTCATGGTTTTATCCCAGCTGCAGCCAAGCACCAGACACCCAGCTCCTCACTCACTCCCACCAGGATGGGGTAAATGTGCAGAAACTCATGGGTTGAGATAAAGAGTTTCACGTAAAGCCAGAAGTGAATGGCATGAGGACTGTGCAGAGCTGCTCTGAACACAGCATCAGAAGCATTTCACAGCAGCCCAGGGAAGGGTGGTGGTACAAGGTACACAGTGACAAAAGGACCGGCTGTGGTGCCTCCAGGGAGTTCCCTGGGGTATGGCAGGACCATAGAATCATAGAACAGTTTGGGCTGAAGGGATCTTAAAGCTCACTCAGTTCCAATCCCCTGCCATGGGGGACACCTTCCACTACAGCAGGTTGCTCCAAGCCCCATCTCAGGGCCTGGCCTCAGCACATGTGCCTGTGAAGACCCAGATCCCAGGGACACGACAGCTGCTGGCCTGGCACTGCCAGGAATGGTCTTCAATAAGGACCTGCCTTCTCTCAACTGAACTGACCCAGGGACAAGTGATGTCCAGGCACCCACACGTGCTGCTGCCAGGGATAGGTTTCAGATCACAGAGCAGCCCTCTTCTTATCCATTACCCATTCTATATCAAGCCCTCCACAACCCATGCAACTACCAGGAAGTTTCTCCCAGTGACATGCAACACACCCACGCTTCCAGGCACTGCAACACATGGAGCACAGTAGAGCACAGAGGGGAAAACACTGTTGCTTCCTTGATTTTTGCTTTCTGTTTGTTGGACTTCATGTGTACCCACCTCTTTAGGATGCTCTGGCTGAGGAACAGTCTTTCGAAGCCTCTGATCTATAGGCTTCTCTGGGAAGCTTTGTCTGTGGAGCTCTCCAAGTGATGCTGGTGGGCTCTGCTCATTGAAACACAGCAATGGGCTTGGCCCTCTTTTTGGAAGAGCCTTTCACAGCATTGCTGAGTTGGCCAAGGTGCACTTGGTGCAGGTCAGAGAGGGCTCGGTAAGACAGAGCAAGTGACCCCCAAATACCCTTTGTGGTTTGTACATGAGCCTCTTACCCATCTTCCTCCCACGATCTGCTCCACCATCCTGAGTGCTGCATGTGCTCCACAGCTACATTTCAGGCCAATGGACCATCTTCTTCTTCTGCTGCTTGTCCCAGGTGCAAATACATTGCTGGGTGACCCAGAAGACATTGGAGGTGGGATGGATGCACTGCTCTTGCCAACCCACCACTCTTTCCTGCCTCATGGTGTACAAGGACTCCAATGATGCTGAGCTAGAAGCTCAGCTGGGAAGCATCATTTTTAACCTGGAAGTAGATCCTCCTCCCGCAGTTGCAGTGGCCATACCACAGGCTGGTCAGACCCGGTTCACCTCAGTTAAGAAGTCTAGAACTTAAATATCTTGGTCTAGGCCACTCACTCTATTTCTTCACAGTGAGAGCAGGGAAATGAGAGCCAGATCAGACCCCTCTGACAACCAGTGCAGAATGAGCTGAGAGGACCAAGTCCCTTATGGAATACCAGGGCAGCTAAAGGTGACTTGCCCAGACCTGCAGGTCTCTCCAGGCTGTAAACTCCCACCCTATGAACCTCACAATTGCCTGGAAACAGGGTCCTGAAGTTTCAATGGCACCACCATTCAATGCCACCAAACACAGCTTCCCACATTTCCTAGCTCGCAAGCACTCAGCTTCTGCAGTGCAGAGCAATGCTCTCCGTGTTCAGCTCATTCAGGTAACCCACAGCCCAGGCATTCCTCTCTGTGCTTTCTGCTTTAGAAACGCTGTAGTTTTATTGATGGTTACATGAAGCACACTGGATATTAACACTATTTTAAATGGGTTTAAAATTTACAGCAATATTAGTAAGAAACAGTTTACATCCACAGTACCTGTTGATCTCCCAGCTTCTGCTATCACACCTATAACAAAGAAACACTCCTGTATAGAAAAGGATAAGATCTGAAGAATTTCACAGGTCCCTGGCCTATCTGAGGAGTCTGGAGAAGGCCACTCACTTTAAAACTACTTTGGATCCTGCAAGAGAAATCAACATTACATTCATTCTGGGGGTGGAAGATCCTGCTGCAGGTTAGGATCTTCCAGTGCTCCAGTGTAGGGATTACAGGGTAGTGATTGACAGCAGCCACGAATCTGCTCCATGTGTCCCCCTGAACCTCTGTCACCTCCTTGTAGGTTCTATTTCAGCTACGTGCCCAAGTGCTCAGAGAGGTGAATCCTGGGTTCAACCTCAGGATCCTATTTAAGTTGTCTGAGAAAGACCCCATGAGGGCTTTGCAATGAGGGGCCCTGCTGGGGATCAGACCTGCAGCAGCAGCGCCACACCAGCGAGCACCCACTTGGAGGGATTCTCTTTAGTTTTAAGGTTAAAAGTCCACACATAGGTTGGCCCTCTCTGGTGGGTTTTGTACACAGGACACGGGTACATGTTATGGAGATCTTGCTTGTCAGCAGGAATGGCTTTGAGGAAAACGACGGGCATGGCTGGGGTTAGCTCCTTGAGCCTGGCATCCGTGATTATCCCAGCCTACAAAGGCAAGAAGACAAAGTCTTAGTTAGATTTCTAAGCCATCCATCAGCTGTACCCCGATCCACATGATCCTCTGTGGTGCTTATACAGGCTGGTCTTACTGGGGAACAGGAGACATCTTTCCTGAGATCAAGGTGGGGGATAATTCTACTTGAAGTAAGGAGGGTCTGGATCAAACACCTCCCCTGTTCCATCAGAAGCCTCCTTCAAGCTTCATGCCTGGTCTCATCAGATGCTCAAACCCACACATACCTGAGCAGGACTCTGTGGGGGAATGTTCCTGGCCGTATCCAACCACACTGTCCTCATGCAGCTCTTGCTCAAGGTGTTGCCAGCCCAGAACAATCTCATGGGAAGTGCTGCTTATGCCAGGTTGTGCTAAGACCAACTGTGAACAGCTCAACGGGGCTCAACTGAGAGCAGCCTAAAAGGCACCGAGTAAATGTCCCACCACACAACCAGAATTTGAGCATGACCTGGGTGATGAATGCAAGCAGGGGTTTGTGTGGCCCCCAAAAACATCACAGGCTTGTCCCCACTCTCTCAGGTGCTCACACCAGCAATTGGGATTCAGAAGGATTGCTCCTTAGGGAATATCAGCATTAAATAATGCATCTGTATTATCCCCTTCAAAGCAGTGCTCTCACCCAGCAGGCTGTCCAACCCAGGAGGACAGTGTGCTGTCAGGGCATGAATTCAAGGCTTGTTTCTCTAACTCAGGTCTGTTTCTGACAATAAAATGCCCTACACATCAATCACTTTCCAGGAATGCTTTCAAAACTGCTTAATGCAAGCGAGAGAGACCAAATGAAAGCAAATACAGGTATGGAAATAAAACTTCTCAGTGCTCAATAAACTGCCTCTAACTGCAGCTTAGCTTTACATATCAGTATTATTCCAAATGCTCTTAGATCAGAGCTGTGGGATGAGGTTCAACATCTCCAGTTGTTTGTTTAGTTCTGCAAATGAGTGAAGAAGAAGAACCCCTTTTGCAACATACCTGGGTTTAATTGTACTAATGCCATCTGTTCTATTAAGCTGTGATAAAGCCAGCTCAGATTTCAGATTCTCTATTTACAACGTGCTGAACAAACATGAAATACGCTGCAAAGAAGCCATTTATCACACGCTCTTTTTAAACCCACTCCTCGAATTCCTGAGGCTGGATTTTGATCTGAGCTCTTTTTCTTACTCCCGACAATTCCTCCAATCAAGTTTTCAAGATACATTCCACCTATTCCTGGGTTAAGAAGAGCAGAAATCCTCCCGAGCTCTCTCTATGGAATACAGCACTTTGTTATGTCTGGGATGATTTGCATTTGCATTTTTTATCGCTCTCATCATCAGAAATTAATCTTCCTCTGAAAGCAATTTTCCCTCACTGCTTGGCACAGCACACCTGGTGAACAGCCACTGTCTGTGCTCGGGGCTCAGGCCTCACATCCTCAACAAATCCTCACTGCTGCTTGTCCTGGCTCCTCAACAGGCAATTTGAAGAGTGGACATGCTACACTGCTACGTATCAAAGAGCCCAGTGAGCCAAAGCAGCTGTCACGAGCCAGGGATGCTAACAGATGGGCCCAAATGCACAGGCAGTAGGCCAGCATCCTCACTCAACTGCATCTGGAGGTGTTACAGCACAGGCACACTTGCACCATGGCTAATTTAGGGTCAGTAAGCTTAAAGACTTCAATATGGCTTGGTTTTCTGTCTCATAGAGCTGTCTCTGCAGGGAAGGAGGGCTGGTGATCTGACCAGCAGTACTGCCAGCAGGGAACATCACTCCAAGGTGGTCCAGATATTGCTGGAGTTAATGGCTTCAGCTGGACACGGGGAATGAGAAAAAGAGCCACACATGGAACAAGCAGTGAAGAAGATCTGATGATAATGAGAGAGCTGGGCTGGGTCAGCCTGGAGAAGAGAAGGCTCCTGAAGGGGAGACCTGAGAGCAGCTCCAGTGCCTGAAGGGGCTGCAGGAAACCTGGAGAGGGGCTTGGGACAAGGGATGTAGGGACAGGACAAGGGGAATGGCTTTAACCTGCCAGAGGGGAGACTGAGCTGAGCTCTTAGGCAGAAGCTCTTCCCTGTGAGGGTGCTGAGGCGCTGGCACAGGGTGCCCAGAGAAGCTGTGGCTGCCCCATCCCTGGCAGTGTTCAAGGCCAGGTTGGACACAGGGGCTTGGAGCAAGCTGCTCCAGTGGAAGGTGTCCCTGCCCGTGGCAGGGGTTGGAGCTGGAGGAGCTTTAAGGTCCATCCAACCCAACCCAACCCATTCTATGATATGATATGATATATGATAGGATACGTGCTGTCCAGTAAAGCCAAATGAGAGAACTTTCAAAGTTGAGGTACAGATGGAAAAGGGTTTGCCAAGTTATTAATTTTTCAAAATAACTCTAAAAAGGAGACAGGCTGCTCACAGCACAACTTGTGTCCCCTCCAAGCCTGTGTTTTAAGCTCATCACTGGAGACTTCAGCTTGAACCACATCCTACTCTGTCTCACAGCTCACAAATACATGGGCCCTACGGACAACTGACATCTCCAAGAAAAGGCTTCACATGGTGTCCCATGAAACCTCTGGGGAAAATGTCCGTCTCTGGTGGACGAAGTCTGATGTACCTGGTGTCTCTGCAGAAGAACTGTGATGTCTGGGACTGGAGAACCAGCACCGGGCTGTACCAGGCCTGGGCTACACACTTGTGTTTTCATCTGCATCCGCTTCTGGGAGCATCTCAGATAAACGTGGGTGATGTGCAACTGCTCCCAAAGATCTTGAGCTACTTGAACCATCAAATGAACATGACGGTTCCTCGACACACAGATCTGCCCTTCTAAGCCTCTCCACTGATTTCAGATCGTGCTTTACGTAGGATTAGCCTTAAAAACCACACAGAACCTGTAGCTGGCTTGGCTTGGAGGAGGCAGGACACCCTCAGTGTTAAGCCACTGCTTAGTGCTGTGCACTGACGGGCATCTCCTTCAAGGACAAGGCGGTGTGCTCTCTACACTTGGCAAAGCTTCATGTAGCCATGTAGTGCAAAACCCACCTCTCCCCTTGTACCCCCTGGGAGTAGCAGGGCACATACCTGGCATCACACTCTCCATTGCTGGGAGCAACAAAACCAGGAATCAGGTAAAATGCCTCAGTGTCACCAGTCAAACTCTCTCTCACGGAGTCCCACTGACTTTAACAGTGCTACAGCAACACATCATTTGGGCCCAGCTTCCCTGCTTGGTTCATTCCACCTACCAGCTGCCTGCTGCTTTGTAATGAAGGCTTTATACAGTTAAGACTCTCCAGGGCAAACACAAATGTTTAAATAAACAGAAAAACGTGAGCAGCAGCACATGGAGGGACTTGCTCCTTTTGTGGAGGCACAACCTAAATGTGAAATATCCTTTAAAAAGCAGAGGTGCTCCCCAGAGGGGCCCTCCCATTGCCAGCAGAAGATGAATTTGGAAGGAGTATACAACTCAAAAGAACTGTGAACCTGGTTTACAAATGCTGTATCCACTAAGAGACACTGGTGCTCGGTGGGTTCCAGGTCAAATGAATAGTTCACCTCGTGGAAATGAGATCTCAGTGTCAGCAGCAACATATGAAAATACTCTTTTCTTCTCTGACATACCCTGAAGTGTGATACCCAGAGGTTTGGAATGGTTCTAGAGAGGGGACTGCTCAGTATCTTTCCATCACAAGGGAAATTGTAACCAGAAAATAAAGTCTGGATGATCTCTAAAGACAAACCTCATTGCTGACTGCAGTCACCCATACGAGTTATTGTATGGGAGGCAGAGGGGAGGAGCCATATGCTTCCCAAGAGATTGGCTTTGCACACCAAAACTGCTCTTCACTTCCACATGGGGATGGGTAAAACTGAGGCAGAACTCAGCCATTTGACCATTATATTTTCTAGTAATGGTGGTAATGATGGTAAAGGAAAACATAAGCTATCCAGTCACTAGGATTTGGTTTTGATGGAGTATTCTACATGCATTCTAACCTTTCCCTGTACTGCTGTGTGCAGCAGTCAGGTTTTGAGGGTAATGGAAATCCAATGCTCCCTGTAGCAAGGTGTTGTGATGTCCAAGAGCTGGAAGGGGGTACATATGGAAGCCACACCAAAGGCTGACACAGGGGAACAGGCAGAGAACTGTAGGACCAGGGCTTGGGAAATGGACTGGGCTGGTCCCTGTTCTGCTACTGTGACTTTTGCTGTTAGCAGAGCCAAAACCACAGAGACAGAAGATGTGAGCTGATACCTATGTGAGAACTTTACTGCAATGTTCTGACAGAGCCTTTGCCAGTATTCCTGACTGCCCATGGCTTTCCAGACCCAATGTACATGTAAACTCATTTCCAGAGAGAAAATGGCCTGGAGCTTCGACTTTCACAAGGATTCATGATAAACTGCACTGGATGCCATCAGTCAGTGGGTTCAAAGCTTTGCCTGGTTTCCTATCCTTCATGGAAAACTATTGCAGAGAGGGAGCTGAAAAATAAGTGGGCAATATTAGATCTAAATTGCAAGGTCAAGCTGGGATATGGTATAGAACACGTACAGTTTCTCTTCTCAGCATCCTACCACTAAGCCTCCCAACAGGTAAAGTAGGGGCTTCAAGGCTAAGACCCTAAGAGTGCCCTCTGAAGTAAGACCCTTTGCACAGATAAGTAAGCTCTGGGTGACCCACTTTGATCAGCCTTCACTCTCTCCTAGACCACTGGCAGCAGAAGGATCTCACTGGCTGTCCAGTGCAAGTGCTGCATGAATCACATGAATCACTGTAACAGGGAGCCCTGGTACCACAGGCCAGGCCACTCGGAGGACCAAGCCCAGGGGGGATTTGTGAGCCTAAATGCTCTGTGTCTGAGGACTGCAATCCTAACAGCTGACAACTGTCACAGGGAATGACAGGGACAGCTGTGCTGCTCTGGGATGCTGCGACAGGAGTGCTGACAGCTACAGAGGCAGGAAACAGCAAGTGTAGAAGCTTCCTGCAGCTGCCTGGTTGGTGGGTATGGATCGCACCTAGGCTGCCTTCAGGCTGGCCATGCTACAACTGAAGGTTGGGTCACATCCAGAAGGGGAAAGAAAAAGCCACCCATACTGATCTGCTTGCCCAGGGTGAGCCTACCCGTACACCGAGTCCTCAGCTTGAGTCTGCATTGACCATACCAGTTAAACCTTCATGCCAGTTTTACTTGGCACCCTAAGGGGATGCCTAAAGGATGTGATTAATTTTTGGTCACAAACCCCACCTGCACAGATCATAGAATCACAGAATAGTTCGGGTTGGAAAGGACCTTAATATCACCCAGTTCCAACCCCCTGCCATGGGCAGGGACACCTCACACTAAACCATGGCACCCAAGGCTTCATCCAACCTGGACTTGAACACTGCCAGGGATGGAGCATTCACAGCTTCCTTTGGCAGCCCTTTCCAGTGCCTCAGCACCCCTACAGTGAAGAACTTCTTCCTTATATCCAATCTAAACTTCCCCTGTTTAAGTTTTAACCCCTTACCCCTTGTCCTATCACTACAGTCCCTAATGAACAGATGGCATCCTGCAGCACCTGGCAGTGGAAGGACAGTGGCCTGCATTTGGCACATCCCACCCAGTCAGCTCTGGGGATGTGAAGATGTAGAAAATCAGAGTGTTCTCCTTTGTCTCCACTACTGCTGGACAGATGACAGAGCAGTGACACTGCAAGTCTGCCACGTCACTTTTGGAGGTAGCAGTGAAATCATGACCATGAAAAGGGGCAGGGACAACACAGGCCTGAGAGGACCCCATGTTTTCTGTTTGCAATAATACCATGAGCAATGACCAACGTTTACTTGGTTTTGGTAATGTGGCCTCAGGACCCTGGGGGAATAATGGGACTTGAAGAGCCTCAGGCTTGAAAGCTCCCTAAAACTACCCCAGGCAAACTAGGGGATGGAAATCCTCAGAACCATAGAGCTATAGGTTGAGATTCAGTTTATAAGAACTAGATTATCAGTCCAAGCTGGCCACCTTTAACTCCCCTCATGGCCATGGAACAGGCAGCTTCAAGGGGTGATTCACCTGCCCACCCTGGACACGCACTCTAGGCTGCAGAGGAGAGGCCCAGATTTCCTATCACCCCCATTCCTAAAGAAGCAGCTCAATGACTATTTTCGGTGAGTTCCTGTCTGGGCTGAGAAGTTCCCCCGAGTACAGCACCAAGCATTAAGGACATAACTCCCATGGCTGGCTGCTCAACACAAGAGCCTCGGTGAGCTCACCTGTGCATCCCAGCGCGCACCCTCCAGGAACAAGCCGTGGACGTACGCCCCTTCCCGAGGAGGGCTGGCAAAATCGTCCCTGTTCTTCTTTGTCACATCACACTGCAAGGCCATCTTGTCCAAAGGCCACCCGTTTTTCCGGGCTGTGCACTGCATGATGGCTGTCAGGATAGACTGGGGATTGAAGAACCCAGCAAGCCACACGGTGGAGGGTAAGGAAAAGTCTCCTGTCCAGGCCTCCAGCTCCTTGATGCGCGCGAGGAGGTCAGCAAACCACGAGCCCAGGCTGGCCGTGGAAGGGTAAGCTTTCTTTGTCCAGGACTCAGGCACCATGTCCAAGAAAAGAGCATTCTGCAGGTTCTCCATGTCGCTTGTCATGGTCAGTTCTCCCTGAGTGAGAAAGGGTACAATTAGCACCGATAACTGCTTACCTTGAACAAAGCCTGCTTGAAAGCAGAAGCTGAGCTAGGAAGTGTGGAAGTACATGGCAGCCTACCCAGTCATGAGTTTCAGATTTTCATGCACATCTTTTACTGCATAGTCTTGTATCCTCATCTTCCCTACTGTAAAAATACTACTTGGAGGAAAAGTTGTGTAAAACAGTGACAGGACGGGTGTCCCCCAGTTGTCCCAATGTCGTTTCTGTTTCCTCTCATTGACTGAAGATCTTCATAGGGCAGATTCTCAGCAGTGTAGACCAATGTGCCCCTGCAGCACAAAAGGCCACTAGTGTCCTGAGCTGCATTAGGAGGAGCATTGCCATCAGGCTACTGGCAGCACTCTGCTCAGCACTGGGGAGGGACATGCGCCACGCTGGGCCCCGTGATGGGATTGTTTGGCCTCAAGAAGAAATGGCTCAGGGAGGATTCTTTTCAGCACCTACAGATATCTGATGGTCGTAAGTTAGGAAGATGGAGCCACTTCTCAGTGGTGTCCCGTGACAAGAGGCGGATGGGAACCCCTCAAAACACAGGACGCTCCATTGAGATACAAGTACCAACTGTTCTACTTTGAGGGCACGGTCCTAGGAACCTGCTCTACCTGCCCCTGCTTTGAGCACAGGATTGCACTAGACAATCTTAGTGACACGGTTTAGTGGTGGCCTTGCAGTCCTGGGGTAACAGCTGGACTTGATGATCTTAAGGGTCTCTTCCAACAGAGCTAACTCTAAGATTCTATCCCCAAAACAACGAATCTGTGATTCTGTGACACTCAAGCCAAGCAGTCTGCAAAGACAAAGACCTTAAAGGCAGGCTCAGCATGACCACTGTAATGCCCTTCACAACTGAAATCTGCATGCCCCATGCTGAGCTGGAGCTGTACAACACACCAGAGCGGCTTGGAGACTGATGGCTACTGTTGATCACTGCTTTCCATTGTAAATACTTTTGTCCCCTTCTCATTTTGCCAGCATCTTTCTGCCTTATTTCTCTTTGCCTCAGGCAGAGTGGTTTTGGAAAGATTAACTGAAATCAGTTGAGCCATTGCTGAGAAGGGTGAGGGAATTGGGTCAGTCTGTTCACATTAAAAAATTCCAACTGCTCTTCCACAGGACTTCAGTGCCTCCAGCCACAAGGTCAGCAGAGGTGCCCTTTACTGGGACCACAAAAATCTGTGAAGCTTTAGCAGAAGTTGAAATGCACTTAAAGCACCCCCAACGCATGTTCAGCAATGGCTGTCGGAGTCCTGCAGTTCCAAATCTCTGCACTTCACTCCTATACTCACGGTGCCCTGCAGAGCTCTGATCTGCAGATCAGACTGAGAGGCTCCAGCAGGACAGGATCACAGCTAGACACCCAGCCAGACCATGGAAGAGCAGTAATGAGTGCCCTCGTTGACGGCCCATGCTGCATGTGCCACTAACAAGGGTAAGGGGGTTCAGTGCTGAGTGCAAACGAGCACGCTGGTGCTCTTGGGTTAGGAAGCACTTTCTCAAAGGAATTACACTACAAAGAGACCAGAGACTCCCAAGCTTGGAATGCCGACTTGTCATCAGCACAGAAATCCTCTGAGCTCACCACGCTGTTGCCAATGCAACACGCAGAGCTGCTGGGTAATGCTTAAACAAAGGGCGTGAATGCACATCTGCCCCATAGACTGTGTCTTACCAAAGCAAGGAAGGTGTCAGCACTGGAAGCGTCCATAGCAGCACTTCTGGCTGGTACAAGGTATTATCAAACCTCAGCTCCAAAGATGACTTGCTAAAAGTAATAAGCTTTTAAAGGTAGCAAATATCTGAACCTGCTGGGTTCCCCCATGGAGAACACATTTCTGGTGGACAGAGAAAATCGTACGTACAAAGGTTTTCTGATGGTCTTTGTTTTAACACTCTTGAAGCCAAAAGCAACAGATCAGGTTAAATCAAAAAGGGGAAACAGGACTATTTGTAATTAGTCCTAAAACATGAGAAGCAACCTGCAAACACCTTTCAAAATACACATCACCGCCTTTCATATCATGTGAGCAGGGACCAGGTAAGTCTGCAACCTCATTATTTCTATTTAATGATTTTACATTTGTAGGGAAACTCACAATGATGGGTCTTCAAAGTCCTGGGCAACTCCAAGGAGCAAATACAAATGAAAGGTGTCTCATGCTAGTATTTGCCACGAAATGACAAAGAAACACAATGGCAATGCATGCCCCATGCATTTCCTCTTAGGCACCTGAGCTGTTTCACTTTATAGCACACTACAAGATAATTTACTGACCCCAATTAAAGCTCACACAACAGAAAAGCAGGGGGGGTCTATTCAGAGGGGCTGGGTCCTGAGCTCCACAAGGATGTCAAAATGATTTGAGCTCCTCAGGGGGCAGTTGCTTTGTTATTTAATGACATCTGTTGGAACACAGAGTGTGAAGCATCACTGTGCTTCCTTCCTTGTTCACATCGCATGGGTCACCATCTCCCACCTGAGGAGAACTTAGACACTGACAAGACCAATTCAATTGGCAGCTCTCTGGCTAAGGCCATGCAGGAGAAAACAAAGTCTGAGGGGCAAAATACTGCACAGGTCACAGCAGGACACTGAGAACCACAGGGCCTTCTAACAGTGACAACCACTCCTGGAAAGGTTTTAAAGGGGTAAATGTGTGCGAGTGGTCAAACTGATCTGAAGACAAATCCTCCTGGTCGTATCTCATGTCTGCTTTTACTGGCAGGAAACAAATGACTTAGCAAAGGGAACTCGGAGAAAGCCTCAAAGAAAGCAATTTCTAAAGCCTGCATGCTCAAGCAGACTTGTTGGAAGCTCCTGTGAGGCTTCAAAGCATCTCTGGCAGCTATCTCATGTAGTTGTCCAAGCACAATTATGCATAAATTTGCATTGCAGATGCTGAATACTAAAGTGCATCGGGAATGAATCAAGTTAAGGGTTTTTTTTCCCAAATGCTAGGAGTAATTTTCATTAAAGGAAATCCTAATCAGCCTGCAGACCTCCCTTCAAGATGAGCAGACTATTGTCACCCATTGTTTTCTCTGTGAAGGTTATTCTCCCTTAATACAGTAAAATACCCAGCCAGCCTTACAAAATGGGGTCTTATTCCATTCTTCTATAACATTTATTATCCCCATTTTGGAGGCTTATCCTTCCCTGAAGTTGCAAAACAGGAAATCTGCTTGCAAAAATTACACTGGGTACAACATTAACATTCAAGTGTTTCAGCCCAGCCTCCGGGCTCACCCAAGTCAGCCAGAACAAAGGGCTTTGAAATGCAACATGCCAGTTATTTCTTTGATGGCTACCAGTCTATTGCAATTTCCCTTCCTCTTAATGGGATGTCTCCTATTTTTGGAGCAAACAATCACTTTCCGCTACAGAGAAACAATGAATTATTCAAACATTCAAATGAGGCATGACATTTCCAAATCGCTGCCTTTTAGCAGATAGGCAGTTAAAAACAATCAGACTTGCTTCCTCTGTGCTTTATTTATTCTCTTCTGAGATCTGTGGTTCCTCTTATGTAAACTCTCCTCCTCTGAGTGCTGTCAGTGAAGATCCCCAGTCCCATAGATTAACGTGCATTAGCAGCTCCCATAGGAGCTACTCTCAGGAGAAACAATTGAAGAGTGATTTCTCTCCCAAACTGAGTGTGAAGACTGAGCTGCAAGTCAGGACAGCAGCCCTGCCTACACAGCCAAGAGCAGGGCCAAGCTGTAGTCCTCAAGGTATGGGAGAATCCCCCTGGGGGATACTGTGGAGTGCAGGTCATGCATCATGTCTAATTCAGCTCTGCAGGGACCCACATGCAACTTGTGCTTGCAGGCAGAGAAGAACTGCCCACTGGTGGTATCTCAGACCCTTCATCCTAACACAGATACTGCTCCTCATCTGCTCTTCAGGAGTCCTTAAGTCCTGGCCCTGTGGTGGCCCTGGATCACCCCGCAGATGTGAGCTGCTGGGACCAAGCTCTGTAGCCATCGGAGGTGCCTTTCCTGCAGACATCATCTCACTCCCCTGCCAGGATCTGGGGAGAAATTTGCTCTCTATTATTGCTTGATTTCTGTGGTTTATTTTGTCTGAGGTTTATTTAAGCCCATGCATCCACTCATTCTCCCTACCAATATTAAATAGCTTGTTCTTCTCCTCCTCATTAAATCTAATTGCTATACATTGTCCAAGTTACAGTCATATCTTGTTTGGTGCTCCTTGATGAAACATTAAATCACTTCTGTTTACCTGTCTCAGGCAACTAAATTTTCAATTCCACTATGCTAGAAAACAAAGGAAATCTGTTTAGAATAATTGACTACATAAGTATCAGCCCATTTTAAAATGAATTGTACACACTGGGCCACCACAAAGTGGTTATGATGTCTCTCTCTTTAATCAAGACAATAAGCATCAGCAGCAAATGCAATGCAGAAATGTCTGAGCTCGCATGGACCAGGCTGCTGGGATCAGTGTAGAGCACAACGTGAAGCAGTCAAGTCCTACCCCTGCAGAGCTGCAGCTACCTAAAACCCCAGAGCTGAGCCTCCCACCTCTGCATGCACACTGCAGACATGTCCTTTGAAGGTCTCTCTTCAAAGCTGTCTCAGGAGAGAGTTGGGATTGTCATCCAGGTCCTCTCTGCTCACCTGCCAGCTTTCTCCTAACGGGGTCATACAGAGTCACTGCAGTTCCTTCAAGTGCGATGGTTCTCATGCTATACAAAGTACTTTTGGTGAAATATATGTGGTGTATTTCACCATTTTGATGAAATGGGACAAGAACCTGTCATTCAGGAAATGATGGAGCAGAGAATGGCCAGCAACTGATGTCCTTAATTGCTGCCTCACGCTAGGGAGCAATTGAATGTCAATCATGTGGGAAAGGCATCGGGGTAGCACTGAAGCTCCAGGTAGCATTAGTCTCCTCAACTTAGCCCTTTCTGAGGGATGCACTTGGCTATTGTGAAGTCTTTTGGGATGACAAGGTGAAGGGGAATTGTTGCTCCAGGGCACCAGGGCTGGCTAGGCAGGTACTCACTTGCAGTGCAGCCTGCTCTTTGCTGGTTTATCCCCTAATGGGCAGTCTTTTAGCCTTTTCCATTTTGTCCAACCAACTGCCCGGGAGGGAATTCAGCAGATGAGTTCCCCTGCCAGCAGAGGAAGCCTTAAAGCACAGCCCCCTTGCATATCTTGTTGAACCCAGAAATCTACCTGGTGTGTTTCCTGCCAGCCCCACAGCTCCTCACTGTTCTCCATAAGCCAAAGCCACCACCCCAAGGCACAGAGACATCACCTTCCTGGAGCGGATGGAGAAGGAACTATGGGGTGGAGGAATCAAGGACAGTTTGTCCACAGGGAGGGTCTGCTCGTGACCCCCCTCCATTAGCAAATAACTCATCCCCAGCCAGGGGAGTTGTATCTCTTCCAAAACTCTTTCGGTTTTAGGCTTTCTCTCTTACAGCTCTGGACATTCTGTCTCCTTACACACGATCACTCTTTCATTTCAGCTCAGTTTGTGCCTTTAATAACTTTTTGTTACGAGTCCCCCCCTGCCCAGTACCTGGGCATTGTGTGAAAAGCTGTGATTTTTTGGCTTACTTTTAAATAGGCCACATCTCAAATTCTGAGCAACCTGTTGTTGCTGTGCTACAATACGGGGTGGACAGAAGTGCCTGGTCTCTGTTCCCAAAAAGCGCCGTTGCTATGTGTACCTTTAACCTCTCCCAGTGCCTGTGGGCAATGTGTCATTTGAAATCCATCTGTGAGCCCTTCCCCACGGAGTCAAGTTGGTTTTGCAGGCAGTGCTCAATAGCGTGTGTGACCCCTTTTATTGTGTGAGCACCTCTTCCAATCAATCACCAAGGTTTTACAACACTGCAGCCTCAAGCATCCCAAGCTCTTACCTTCAGCCCTAGGTCCAGCTCCTTAAGAGAGCGCTTTATTTCACTGGTGAGGATGTTCATGCGCTCACATTCCTGGAAGGCAACCACAGCGTACGGTGTCCTCTCCTCCACCTTTGCCATCAGTTCTGCAATGTTAAACTCATCCATCAGTTTCTCTAACATCTCTTCCAGAAGGGCTTTCACCTGTGTGCCGAAGGGAAAACAGAGACGGATGTTGGTGAATGATCCACTGAGCTTCCCCAGCTGACAGCTGCCTGAATGCAGTATGAAAACTCCATCTGCCACTCAGTGCCTCTGAAACCATCAGTGTCAGCGGCGCTGGACATGGCACCTTTCAAAGAGCCTGCCCCATCCTATTAAAATTCAAATGCTCACAAAAGTTAATGTCAGATGAGAAGCTTTCAAAATGATGGTTCAGAAATGTCACTGTGACATGCAGCAGTCTCCTTTCTTCTTGGGTCTTGAGCCCGCAAATGGAAACAGAAGCAGGGAGAGGAGATTTAGGTTGGATCTAAGGCAGAAGCTCTTCCCTGTGAGGGTGCTGAGGCGCTGGCACAGGGTGCCCAGAGAAGCTGTGGCTGCCCCATCCCTGGCAGTGTTCAAGGCCAGGTTGGACACAGGGGCTTGGAGCAAGCTGCTCTAGTGGAAGGTGTCCCTGCCCTGGCAGGGGTTGGAGCTGGAGGAGCTTTAAGGTCCCTTCAACCCAAACTATTCTATGATTCTCCTAAGGTCAGATTCAATGCAAGGAGACGGAAGCGGGTAGAGCCTCAGCTGAGCCTCAGGACAAGTGAGCTTATGAGCTGGTTTTCTGCAGTATAATAATAGAGGTGATTATAGAAAACTTAATTTTAAGCTGAATTTTGCAATCTGAACTAATGGAGCCATGAAAGAAAAGCATAATGAAACAGAATTGTTTTCTGGTCACCACCAGAGCTTGCTTTGGGAACAGTGCTTTATATCTCTAAATACTGAACAGGGAATGCTCCGATGCAATAGGATGTATTGCCAGAGAAAATCAGTAGAGCAAACAAAACCCTTTCTGGCTGAGAGCGAGGCCTGAAGCCCTGATCTTCCTGGGATCTGCTGTATCTCTCAGGTGTACATGGACCAGTAGGCAGCTTGGTGTGGAAGCCTCTCACATAATGCTCTCCTTTACTTCCATGCCGGAACCTAAGCCAGACTTTTGCTCCTTGGGGATTTTTCAGGAATGCTTAATGCAGTTACAATTCTATGATGTGATGGGCAAAACCTGGTGTGAGGGTGGCAGTGGCAGAGAAAGCCCAGGGTAGGTATCACCGTGCCCGCCAACATTCATATGAAGGGCTCTGTACTCAACTTCCGGGCATTGGTGCTCTTCCAAACCCTCCTCACTCATGTCAGATGTTACAAAGAGGTGATGATGAGCAGCCTGTTACTGACCACTGAGGTGGCTAAAGGTAAAGCTCAGCTGGCCCATCTCTTCAGCTGCACCTCAGGGGCAGTACAGAAATACCCTCTCATTCTAAATTCCTCTGCAAATCCCTGCTTTTTACACAACGAATACAGCTTGTTCTTGGTAAAGTGGCCTCAGAATCCTGTGGGAATAACTGAACTTGAAGAGTCTCAGGAAAATAAGAGGCTTGCAAGCTCCCTAAAACCACCTCAGGCAAAGTAGGGGATGGAAAGCCTCAACTGGAGGATGCCTGTGACACCACTGCTGGATCACTTAATGATAATCTTGCTTCTCTGGCCAAGGAGTTTAATTGTACTTCAACATCAAAAGGACTGGAAGGGGACAAGAGGAAGTCACATTTGATGCCTGAGCATCTCCTTTGGCTTTGCTACCTCTGGGTTATTCCCCTCAACTCAAATTCCAGTACGATCCGAAGCACTGAGCACTTTAAAGAGCAAAGGCAGTTCCCCAGCTCCACACCAAGCCAAAGGAAGCACGTGTGAAGCCACAGACATCAGATAAGCTCTCTAATAGCTATTCATTACTTTGCAAAGCTTGAAACAGAGCTGGGACCTTAAGACAGCAGAAAGAAAAACCTGAGCAAGTGTTGGCTGATTTCATTAAAATCTTGGGCCAGATTTTAATGAGCCGTGAGCTTTGAGAGGAAGGGCTGGGATCAGCCTGGTACCTGGGCACAGCAAAGGAGCTCAGCTGGAGATAAGGTATTACAAGTCCCCTGGGAGCTCGATGGGACCTGGTGGCAGCAGCAATAGGTGGGTTGAGCTCCAGTGGCACATCACACATGGCACACAGAGCACTCAGGAAGCCCATTGGTATGCCAGGCACAGCGTGGTGCACAGGGACGGGGGGCTCAGAGGCAGTGGAGGCCACAGAAGGTTTATTTGCAACATCTTCACAAGATGATAACGAAGGCACCGCAGTTCAGGGGGTAATTAAAAGCCACTGTCCTATTACTGACAATACTCCAATTACATCCCACCATGGTGGTGTTCTGCATACTTAGAGTCAGGTGGTTTTAGACACCTGGTTTGTATCCAGCAAAGGCAGAACACATTATAATAAGCAGTTGTGAGACAAACCTGAGCTATACAGCACTACTTATGAATGAGGCAGGTATCAGAATGGAGCAGCTTGACCACTCTCACCGTTTCTTCCCTGGTCACCACTCCTCCATCACCCGTGCTGCTGTCCCGGGGCTGCATCTCCAGCACGGTGCGGAAGAGCTTCTCTGAGGTCTGGGTAAGGAAGCCAATCTCAGCATTGGGATGGAGGCCATACAGATAAGGAGACTCTGGAGGCAAGGCATCGTCTATGTACTGTACAGAGAAATCCAGGTTCAGGTTAGATGCATAGATCAAGGGCATTCTGCTTGCAGAGTTCACAGCGCTGGAATTATCAACTATGGGAGCAAGTAACCCCAGGCTGATGTAACTCTGCTTGTGCCTGAAACACCAGCACACTGATGAGAGAAAGGAGTGAATGGCTGTTTACAGAACTGCTTCTGCTCCTGCTGTGAAAATGTACTAATTGCTAAAGTTTGCCTTGGCCACGTATCTCAGGCCTGGACCTTCTCTAGCAATTACCCACGGTGCATCAATATCCTGGTATCTCCTGTGGGAATTTAGCTTCCAGTAATGAACAAAACCAGCCAAATATGCTTATCTCTGCTACCACATTTGTGTACAAGGAGCAGATGAGATCAGTGAGCAGAGCAACAAGACCCTTCACTCTTTCACATCAAAACTGATGATAAAAGGAACTCGAAAGGGCCATTATAGCAAACAGTATGTGGATGTAATTTTCCAGGAGCCCCACTCAAGTCTCAAGAACCAATACAGTTACTCTATTCATGCCCAAACAGAATGAGCCCATGATGAAGTAGCAAATTACCATTAGACTTGGTTCATCCAGGAATGTCTACAGAAACAGAATAGAGTGGGAAATAACAGGAGATGTGCTGAAACACTGCAGTCCTATTCGCTGCCTCCTGAGACAGATTATAAGGTAGTTACATTCATGAGTATAAATAGTGGCAGAAAACCAAGAGCTTACCTGATGATAGCCATTATAGTCCATGTTTGCTGGGAGGGGGAAGCCTGGAGCTAGGAGGAGTTCTCCCTCCAGCATTTCTGGCTTAATAAATTCTTCCAAATAGGTTCTGCAGAGCCGCCTGTCCCAGTCATCTGTAATGTGTCCTCCATACATGATCTCACCAAAGAGGTAGCGTAAATCATCATATGGGACCTGAGGAACGAAGCAGGAGGGTGTGAAGGAGGTTCAGAGAGCCAGAGCTCCACCAGCCGGGTTGCTGAGCTGCAGTCTACAGCACTGAGCCCTGATCTGCACAGTGAGTGCTTCCACTTCACTATTCCAGTTTCCTAAGTAAACAAGCATTAGGTAGTAGTTAAATCCTGCCCAAGGAAAACTGGATCACAGCATAGATTTTGTGCAGGTTCCCACTGAAATGCAAATTTATTCTCAGCTCTGTTAAACCAAAGACCACAGTGCATTTTCAATTAATAAGGACCACAGGCACTATTTGCTATGATGTGTAAGCTGCTACAGACATGGGGGACACTGAAGCTTCCCCTCTCACCACAAAGGTACACTGAACTGGGAAGTTATGAACCCAAAGATGCCAAGGAAATGGCATTTAAGGAGACTTTCCAGGAGTTTCAGCACAAGCCAGACCATGGCTGAGGGTTAAAAGCCACCAACCAGCCCATCTTTGGTTCACACACCTTTGAGCTGGCCTCCAGGTAATTATACAGCACGTTCACAGAGATGGTGAGGTCTCCAGTGTTGAAGGGGTAGGACCGGTTCCAGCCTTGGGGACCAAACTTGCGCCTTTCTGCCACCACAGCATGGAAATAGCAGAGGGCAAAGAGGATGCTCTTGAACTCATGTTCCCGGGTGCACATCTCCAGGGTATCCTGCAATACAAGCAAAGAGGCAGGGCTGTGTGAATCCACACTGCCCGCAGTCTCTGTGGCTCTCAGGGTCTCCTAAATACAACAGACTTTGGACAGGCGTGAAGTGATTTACCCAATTTGTTCATTTCTGCATAATATCCACAAGTCAGTGGCTTTTCATTGCAAATTTAGCAGCAAATTCGGATGCACATTTTACAAATTAGTATTTTCTTTCCCAATTCCAAGCGGCTTTGCACAGGAACGCACACTGACAGCCATGAAAGGAAGGACATGTGCACCCACCCAGTGCCCCACCACCTGCACATGCCCTACGTCCCACACCAGAGAGATGGAGAGGCACCACACAGGGCAAGTGTGCCATCAGTGGAACTGGGACCACGGCCGTAAGCAAGGCTCCTGCCGAGGAGTACTGTACCTGGAAGAACTAAAGTCCATCACAGAGTGGCTTGGTTTGGGAGGGACCTTAAAGCTCCTCCAGCTCCAACCCCTGCCACGGGCAGGGACACCTTCCACTAGAGCAGCTTGCTCCAAGCCCCTGTGTCCAACCTGCCCTCGAACACTGCCAGGGATGGGGCAGCCACAGCTTCTCTGGGCACCCTGGGCCAGCGCCTCAGCACCCTCACAGAGAAGAACTGCTTCCTTCTTCCTGTTTCAGTTTGAACCCATCACCCCTTGTCCTGTCACTGCAGTCCCTGATGAAGAGTCCCTCCCCAGCATCCTTGTAGCCCCCTTCAGACACTGGAAGCTGCTCTGAGGTCTCCATGCAGCTTCTCTTCTCCAGGCTGAAGAGCCCCAATGTTCTCAGCCTGTCTTTGTATGGGAGGTGCTGCAGCCCGTGACCATCCTCGTGATGATATTCTTTTCTTTTCATGAAAAGACTATTTTCTGGTGCCACAGAGGGTATGGGTCAATATCAGTCATTGTGACACAGTGATGAGAACCTGCCCTGTGGACTCACTAAGCACTGCAAGGCAGGAGCACCTGGAGCAGTGGGACACGGGGACATGGATCGAGCAACGGTGGCTCCCCAGGACACAGCCTGTGTGTCAGGACAGGCCAGAGCCCAGCGTGTCTCACTGCTGGAGGTAGCCATGCTTCTGCCGACCCCACTTTCCACATGACACGAAGGGCAAGAGCTAACTGCTTACATTTATGATGATCCCATTCCCAGAGACACAGACCATTGCATCCTGCTGCCCGGAACAATCATTAGCTTCATTCACACACCTCAGCAGCCAAGCTCTCACGTTCAGCCTGGAGAAGAGAAGGCAGCATGGAGACCTCAGAGCAGCTTCCAGTATCTGAAGGGGGCCTATAGGGATGCTGGAGACGGACTCTTCATTAGGGACTGTAGTGACAGGACAAGGGGTGATGAGTTAAAACTGAAACAGGGGAAGTTTAGATTGGATATAAGGAGGAAATTCTTTCCTGTGAGGGTGGTGAGGCACTGGAATGGGTTGCCCAGGGAGGTTGTGAATGCTCCATCCCTGGCAGTGTTGAAGGCCAGGTTGGACAGAGCCTTGGGTGACATGGTCTCTGTGAGGTGTCCCTGGGCATGGCAGGGGGTTGGAACTGGATGATTTTAAGGTCTTTTCCAACCCTAACTATTCTATGATTCTATTAAGACCCTGGCTGTTAACCCTAGAGCAACCAGAAGGGCCCGAAGGCAGCCTCACTCCTTGGACTGCCTTTTTGGTTCACTAGTGCTGAAGTTACCACGGCCTCTCCACCTTGGGAATGTGCAGGGGCAAACCTTGCAGGACTGCTTTTCTTTCTGTTCAAGCAGCCTCTTGTCACCATCCCAGGCAAGACTAACCCCATCCTGCCATGGATCTCACTCACTGGCCCATGAAGCAGAGAAATGTGGACAGTTCACCACTATTTTGCACTTAGATGCTGGTTTGGAGGGGATCTCAAGTGCAGGAGGTAAGTGCTGAGCAGGTGAAGCGGGGAGGCACCACATGAGGATTAATGCAACTAGTCAGGAAAGATTATTCCGTTTTCATCTCCTGTCATTCATCATCCTGAACTCCACGGAATGTCCTGGAGAGCAAGGGGAGGGGAGAACCTTCACCCCCAGGAGCACTTCCATCCTGCTCCTTTCAATCAGACAGTAATTAGCATTTTCTAAATTGCTGGGGCGTTATAAAACCTCTCTTATCAGAAATCCTGGAGCGAGTGGGTGGGGCCCCTTCACCCCTCATTTCCCTGCTTCCTGCAGAATGGATGTTCAGATTTAGCTCTCAGCTGAAAGCTACAAAGAAGGGCCATTATTCTGTGCGGGGAATATTGTTCTGCTTTGTGAGTGAGGAAAAATGCACAACTAAAGAGGGAGGCCAAATGAGACTGAGCTGGATTCGTACTCAGCGTTCATTCAGGCAAGCTCCCCTTGAAGTCCAGGAATGGTTTCTAAAATAAGAAAGGTGCTCAGCAGATATTGGAACCCGTTCTTCATCAGGTGGCTGATACCGAAGGGAGCAAAGAGCGCTGTCTCATCGAGGGGAAAACCGAGGTTTGGGACTGTTCTTGATCGTCTTATGCAGTTAGTGAACATCTTGCACAATTTAGAGTAATGGATTCCCTCTTTTCAGTCCATCCCCTGAGCTCTGTTATGCTCTTCAGGCTGATTACAGGTCTAACATTGGAGATTTTTAGGACAGATAATGAAGGGAAGTCACACAAGTGCCCTTTGTAGTCTGTGCCAAATAACAGAATGGATTTAAAGGGGCTGTCCCTGCGGAGGGATGGTGAAGGGGCTGGTGTAGCTACTCCCTCCTTATTCAGATGCTTGCTGAGCTGTGGAGGTCAGAGCCACGATATCCTGGATGCACTATTCCCAGACAGGGTTTGCATGAGAGGACATGGAGCTGTTGGAGCAGGTCCAGAGGAGGCCATGAGGATGGGGGCTGGAGCAGCTCTCATACAGACAGGCTGAGAAAGTTGGGGCTGTTCAGCCTGGAGAAGAGAAGCTGTGTGGAGACCTCAGAGCAGCTTCCAGTGTCTGAAGAGGGCTACAAGGATGCTGGAGGGGGACTCTTCATCAGGGACTGGAGTGATAGGACATGGGGTGATGGGTTCAAACTGAAACAGGGGAAGTTCAGGTTAGATCTAAGGCAGAAGCTCTTCCCTGTGAGGGTGCTGAGGCGCTGGCACAGGGTGCCCAGAGAAGCTGTGGCTGCCCCATCCCTGGCAGTGTTGGAGGCCAGGTTGGACACAGGGGCTTGGAGCAAGCTGCTCCAGCGGAAGGTGTCCCTGCCCCTGGCAGGGGTTGGAACTGGATAATCTTCCCACACAAAGCAGTCTAGGATTCTATTATTTCCCATAATTTCCACATGCTTTACTTCTGTGTCCTCTGCACTTTGTTGCAGCTCAGTCAAAAAGGAGTGGAGATGGTGCCTGCTGTAACAGGAGTGTGTGTAAGTGGTCACCATGCAATAAAAGCAATGAGCAACCTGCCGTTGGCTATTCTGCTTGTGGGCCAGCAGTTCTCAAGGTGGCCTACTTCATCCTTGCCTGGCAAAGCCAGTCCTCCCTGCAGGGAGATTTCAGCTCTAATTTGCACCACTTCAGATGTCAGCAAGGTTTTCAGCTGAATGAATGGCCTTTGAGCACACAACATCCCCTACCCTGCTCTGAAGAGTGCTGTGAGATGTGACCACATCAGCAGCTCTGAACCTGTAACCCTGGTTAAACAAAAGGGTGTAAAAGCGAGGTTTAACCTGAAATGTGACAAAAGTCTCCCAAATGCTGCATTCAGAAGTTTGATTCTGTAACAAAATAGCTTTTCAATGGTGTGAAAATGATTAAACTGGGCAGAAGTCTGGTATCCTGTGACCTTCTGCAAGAAAGAGGCCATTCAGGATCACCTGAGTCCTCACTTGGGAAAACCAGTGCTTGGAAAGAGATCTGTGCCCAGCTCCCGGAGAAGAGAGGAGGGGGCTGTTAGATCCAGAGACTCATGATGCAAAGGGACTGCAAAAGAAGCAATGCTCCCACACATCACACTCTACTTGGGGCACCACAGCAGCTCCAGTCCTACCTGCCTCCAGTCAACAGCGCTGCGGTCCTACCTGGTTGAAGTTGTCGAGGGCTTTGTGCAGGTTTGCGTGCATCCCGGTTGGGGCCTCGTTGGTGATTTTGATGGAGTTCTCCAGGATGCCCTGGGGAATGATGTGGCTCTCAGAGGAGGGGGCTGGCTCTGCGCTAATGAAGACACGGAAGTCCTGGTGGCTGCCCTCACTGTGCTGCTCCAGCTTCTTCTCCAGGGAACTCAGCCACTTGGCCACCAGGTGGATGTTCTGCAGAGATGAAGGGGACAAGGCTGCATCAGTTGCTCCCCTTTACACCAATGCTGGGCAGGCACCAAATCCATCACAACAACAAATGGCACCCACCAAGGCTATGCTGTAGGACTCGGTACTTGTCCCAGTAGTACCTGCGTGCAACTCAGAGCCCCAAATGTCCAGTTACATCAAGTACACTTTTAAATTCAAATATCAGTATAAACCATCAGCAATGAAGCAAGCCAGTGTGGGGCTGTTTGGGTAATCAGAGACTCATAGAATGGCTTGGAAGGGAAGGGACCTTAAAGCTCATCCAGTTCCAACTCCCTGCCACAGGCAAGGACACCTTCCGCTAGAGCAGCTTGCTCCAAGCCCCTGTGTCCAACCTGCTCTTCAACACTGCCAGGGATGGGGCAGCCACAGCTTCTCTGGACACCCTGTGCCAGCGCCTCAGCACCCTCACAGGGAAGAGCTTCTGCCTTACATCTAACCTGGACTTCCCCTGTTTCAGTTTGAACCCATCACCCCGTGTCCCATCACTACAGTCCCTGATGAAGAGTCCCTCTCCAGCATTGTTATGGCCCCCTTTAGACACTGGAAGCTGCTCTGAGGTCTCCATGCAGCCCCTCTTCTCCAGGCTGTCTCCTCCTTGTTAAGAGTAATATACAGCTGATGAACTAGAGTCACTTCCCCAGATCTACCAAACTCAAATGAAAAATGTTTGGTCATTTGGAACAGACTAAAAATGAGGACCCCCCATATCAGTTACTGAGAAACAAAGTCAAGCAGGTGGGTTTACAAAGACCTTTAACACAAAATACTTCTTTATTCATGCAACTAATTATACATATCTGTTAGAAAATGAAGCAGTGTTATGCTGAGATGGTGAAACAGAGGAAGACAAGCTTCAGTTTTCAACCTAAAGTCCTACAGAGTCTTGTAGTTTCCAGCCAAGAAAATAGTTTGAGGGTGGTTTCTTGTATTAAGAATGGGGCAGGTCACACACATCAGCGACTGTGGCCTAAAAGTACCTTCAGTTTAAAGTTAGGTGTGCAATCCAAGCACACTGTGCTAACAGGCCCCCTGGAAGGGGATTTATCCCATCCAAAGGCAGGACAAGGAATTTTCTAACCTTCAATTAAAAGCAGCCACCAAAAAAGATAAACTGCTTAGAGGTGCAAGGAAATGACATAAAGGACCCAGATCAGAAGCTCAGAATACATCACCCATTAAAGGGAGCAGAAAGGAGGTTTTGTGGTTGAAGAGTAATGGAGACTATCAGGAGTAAAATGACATTCTTCCGAAAGTGGAATTGGTGTCCAAATGAGGAAAATAGAAAACAGCACAAAATCCAGTCATGGTAAGGCCAAAAGGTTGTTTAAAGGAGCAGTATTCTGAAAGCCATAAAAACTACTAATAAAGTCTGTTCCAGAAGTCAGAAACCTACTAAAGAATCTGTAAAACCAGAAGATAACCAAAGTCTACAGCAAACGCCCAGGAAAGGCAAAGCCACCACAGAATAGCTCATGTGCAGGAACATTCACTGCAGAGCTTAGGAAAGCTCTCACAGTTACAGCCTGTGTTAATGGTGGGATCACTGAAACGCTGAGGCTGGAGACACCTCTGGAGATCACCCTGCCCAAAGCAGAGCCAGCGAGAGCAGGTTGGTAACTGCCACAGAATCACAGCCTGGCTTGCGTTAAAGCCCCTCCAGCTCCAACCCCTGCCACGGGCAGGGACACCTTCCACTAGAGCAGCTTGCTCCAAGCCCCTGTGTCCAACCTGGCCTTGAACACTGCCAGGGATGGGGCAGCCACAGCTTCTCTGGGCACCCTGTGCCAGCGCCTCAGCACCCTCACAGGGAAGAGCTTCTGCCTAAGAGCTCAGCTCAGTCCATAAATCACCAGACAACTCCTGCCAGAGGCCAAGCCTCCATCCCTGAGACAGCGGCTGCTTCAGAAACATGGGTCAAGAGAACTGTTATCTGGGGGAGCCATGGACACCTTGCATCTGCCCGCTCTCTTGCCCCAAATCTGATTCATGTGGGTGGGAACAACACTGGTTATTCAGAGCTGCATGAATTCATTCTCTTCCCCTGAAAGGGTGAGGGTTGTGCTCATTTTACAGGGATGACATGGAGTCTGAGGGCTTGGGGGAGACAAGGAGGAGATGCCTGAGCAAAGGAACCGCGCTCTTGGAAGCGCTGCCTTGTGGTAAACAATGACTCTGTGAAAGGCAGTAGACCAAATGCAATTACATCTGACTGCGGATGCACCAGTGCTTGTCTGATGCATTTAGGATTTCATGAGATGAGGTAATCCCCAGGGTCCTGGCACCCAACTCACTCTGAAAACACAAGTGTAATAATAAAGTGGGAGTGGACCGAAACCTGCAACCAAAGAGCTTTGAACAGCCACAGAGATTTACTAATTTAAGGAAAGAGCGCAACAAAACAGCAAAAGAAAACCTGTGCATTAAGCATCTGTGTAATCATAGACTCCATACCTGACCTTAAGCATTTCATCTTTAATTGGTAGTTTCTTCCTATATCTGCTTTTGTGTTGTTAGGTGGCTGAAAAATAATTGCTTTTGCTGCTGCTGACATGACACCAACGATCATTATTTGTCAGTATCACCACCTTCTAACAGCCAGTTCAGGGCATATCTCTAATCTAATGATAATGGAGTGCATTTCTACACAATCCTTTTGTGATAGAAGGGATGGAAAAGAGCAGTATATTGAGCAAAACATGGGTTGGCACTGAGAATTCCTGACTCCATCGAATGGCTGTGTCTGTAACCAGACAGATGCTGTGGAGGGGATTCACAGCTTTGGAGGAAACTTTGCAAATGAATTCTCTGCAGTCAGGTAACACAACTTGACAGGACGTGACTAATGACAACATAGGAGGTCGCACTACTTGAATATGTCAATTATCAACAACAACGTAACGCAGACAGTGCTGCAGTAACACCAACCGCAGCTGAGCTACATGTTGCTCGAAGAACCACCTCCTCTTGCTTGTTTGGAAACCTGCCTCCCACCAGTGTCATGGGTTACCTCTAGATCTTACTCAGGAGAAAGAGGAGATAGTTCAGCCTGCCCACCTTCTTTTGGCTCAGAGCTTCATGCACTCCCAATACTAGCTCCCTAAACCCCACTGTACAGTTTACACTGCACCAGTTTTACTTCCTTCTTGTTCCATAAGATCCCTGAAGACAGTTACCCAGGACGCAGCAAGGTAACTCGTTGTTTCACCCCATTTTTTTTCTCTTAGCCAGATTTTGGTCTGTTAAAGAGCTGTTGTGCAAGGGTAAAAGACCACTCCCCATCATCTCTGGGTTTTCACAGCTTATGTCTAGGTCTGTGCTGCAGGCAGAAATAGGCAGAGGTCTCCAATTCATTACCTTGCTTTATGAATGGATGGCCAACTCCTGCTGACAAGAAGGGAAAAAGACACCTGGAACATCTTCCCATGCACACTTCCCACTGCCACAGCACTTTGCCCTGTATCATTGCCCCACTCTGTGCTATGGCACACGAGTGACTGAGAGCAGGTACCAGAGGATGAAGATCTGCAGCACGAGCTGGGCTGCACATGAAGGAACCTGGGCAGGGGGGAACCAGATGCTTTCCTTTGGGAATTCACTTGTAAGCACCTCTGTGTTTGTACTTCACAAGGCAGAACATATATCACAGGATGCAAGCGTTGCTATGGTAACCATCAGAAATAGCACCATGTATATATAAAGCAGCACACACTCCACGATGTGCTTGCTCCCTTTGCTGAGAGCAACTGGAGACCCTTCACATTCCTGAAAGGGGCTCTCTCCTTCATGCCTTATCACAGATCACCTCCTGGAGCAATGAGAATGAGTTGCTTTTACAAAGTCTCATTCTCTCGTGAGATGCTCTCAGAAAATAGTCACCACATTCACAGTAAGTCCGAAAGCTACGATTTACAGTCCAGAGACAGCCCAGCACCTTAATACACAATGCATTGTGATAGGATATGAAAGGAGGGGCTCTGCAGAGGGTCCCTTCCCTTGCCATGCTTACTGTCAATGGTAGTGTGAGGTTCCATCCCATGAGAAGGTGCCACACATGGTCAGGAACAGCTCCATCCTTCCACAGGCAGTAGCCCTGTGGTCATGCAAATACTGACACAGGACCAAAATGGATAAGCACAGACCCTACTGCCAGCGCCTGCTCATACGTCTGAGAGATCTGGACCTCAGCCTAAATGGAGCCTTTACTGGTAGGGGAAACTTCTGGGATTTGCCAGGCCAGAGAGCAAACGAGCAGCAAGTACAGAGAAACTGGACTGACCTGAGCTCCCCAGAGTTTTAAAGACAACGCTGGAGCTTCTATTGCCAAATTTCACTTTGTAAGACACAATGATTTAAAGGTAGGTAGTGATGAGCAGCTGAAATGCACAGCAAAGGGCACGGTCTTGATTAAGCTCAAGAAATGGAGAAAAGATTCCATTGCATTTGTGTTGTAACCCAAAATTAGTCCTGAGACAGAGGTTTCTGTAGCAGTTGCACAACGAAACTGGGATTGCAGCAGTTACAAAGGTATTGAAAGCCCAAGAGAAACTTAATTCCATCCCAGATCAATATTTGGATTACTTGCGGGTCTGTAACTGGATTTGCTATTGGAAAAACTTGGGAATGGCTGTCACATGAGGCAGGATGGAAGACAGCTCTCTGAAATCCAAAACCTTTCTCCATCAGTGTATTAGTCTGAAAATCATGAAGAAGAACTGGAGGAAGACTGGGTATTTCTCCTTTTACATATATTTAAGGATGAAAAGATACTGTGGCTGGAAGGAAAACTAACTTGTTCTTTGCTGAAGCAGAGGCTTAGTGCCAAATGCTTATGTGTGCTTTGAATGGCCAATGTATCTCATACAGGACAGTGTATGTCTGCTGCTTGTAGCAAGGACTAGTGATGAAGTACACGGAAAAGGGCTCCATTGTATTTACAATGCAGTAAGAAGGGCTCTGCCAATGCCTGAATCACAGCTTTGCTCTGGGATATCCCTGTTATTCCATTTGGTACATGAACCTGACCCAGTGAAGCAACAACCTCTGGAAATGGAAAGATGCTCAAAAATTAAATTCACTTGATCACAAAGAGTGAAGTGATACTTTGGCCAATGGATGAAGACTACAATTAAATTCAGAGTATTTAATGTCTGCCCTTTTCCCTGCATCACTTCATTCAGACATACCTCTGGAAACATAGAATCATAGAATAGTTAGGGTTGGAAAGGACCTTAAGATCATCCATTTCCAACCCCCCTGCATGGGCAGGGACACCTCACACCAAACCATGACACCCAAGTCTCTGTCCAGCCTGGCCTTGAACACTGCCAGGGATGGAGCATTCACAGCTTCCCTGGGCAACCCATTCCAGTGCCTCAGCGCCCTAACAGGAAAGAATGTCCTCCTTATATCCAATCTAAACTTCCCCTGCTTAAGTGTTAACCTGTTACCCCTTGTCCTGTCACTCCAGTCCCTAATGAAGAGTCCCTCCCCAGCATCCCTACAGCCCCCTTCAGACACTGGAAGCTGCTCTGAGGTCTCCACGCAGCTTCTCTTCTCCAGGCTGAACAACCCCAACTTTCTCAGCCTGTCTCCATACAGGAGCTGCTCCAGTCCCTGATCATCCTCGTGGCCTCCTCTGGACTTGTTCCAACAGCTCCATGTCCTTTTTATGTTGAGGGCACCAGAACTGCACACAGTGCTCCAGGTGAGGTCTCACAAGAGCAGAGTAAAGGGGCAGGATCAGCTCCTTCGACCTGCTGGTCATGCTCCTTTTGATGCAGCCCAGGATACGGTTGCTTTCTGGGCTGCAAGCGCACACTGAAGCCAGCTCATGTTCATTTTCTCATCCACCAACACCCCCAAGTCCTTCTCCTTGGGCTGCTCTGAATCTCTTCTCTGCCCAACCTGTAGCTGTGCCTGGGATTGCTCTGACCCAGGTGCAGGACCTTGCACTTGGCATGGTCAAACTCCATAAGGTTGGCATCAGCCCTCCTCACACGAAGATGTGAATGGATGAAATAAAACCACTTCAGGCCATAGTACTCATCTGCTGCCACTGACGCAACAGACATCGAAGCTGACACTGCTAGCAGATCATTTACAGATCTAACCAGCATTGTAGAAAAGAGCCTTCACTTTGCATTACTAAATGGAATATGTCTTAAAAAGCTGCCTGTTTTCTTTGTCACCACCTCAAAGGCAGATGCCAGTATTGCAGCCACCTGTATTCAAAGCTCTTGAAAAGCTCAGCATTGTCTACCTTAGAGGCAGCTTGCAAAAGAAGCAAAAATTAAGATCAGAATATCAGTGGCATTCAGTTTAAATCCAAACCCAAGCCCATAGGCTCAGATCAGGACTCAAAGCTTTGTCTTAATCTCATTTTATCCAACCAATTCAGTGACAACAAACATTTGTAAAATCCACGTCTAGGAAAACAGAGGGGTTTTTAAGACCTGCAGTGAGCGCTGGCATCCCTGACTCTGCACATCAGCAAACCCAAACACTCACTGAGTAAGTGGCTCTGGAGACAGCACTTGACAGAGCTCCCTTTGCACCCTAAAAGGCTCTGAAACATTTTGCTGTGTTGTGATAAGAGCTTCAAACATTTATTTACCTGTTTGAGGATGCATGAAGGAATCGGTACCACTGCAGAGAGCCCTGCTTTCCCTGCGGTGGTGTGCATGTTGTCATTGCTCATTTAAATACATGGGTAGTCTTGAGTGGTAGTGAGAGAAACAGCCTAACACCTCTTACCAAAGCTCTATTTATTCATAAAGCAAATAAAAACACTGGAATGTAGCACAACCTTCCCTCAGAGGACTGCAGTGATAGGACGAGGGGTGATGGGTTCAAACTGAAACAGCAGAGATTTAGGTTGGATCTAAGGCAGAAGCTCTTCCCTGTGAGGGTGCTGAGGCGCTGGCACAGGGTGCCCAGGGAAGCTGTGGCTGCCCCATCCCTGGCAGTGTTCAAGGCCAGGTTGGACACAGGGGCTTGGAGCAAGGTGCTCCAGTGGAAGGTGTCCCTGCAGGGGACAGGGTGGAACAGGGGCTCATGATTGTGGAAGAGGGGACAGGTGGCAGCAGTTGGAACTGGATGATCTTAAGGTCCTTTCCAACCCAAACCGTTCCATGATTCTATGACTCTGCACAGCTACACACCCTTCAGAAGGTTCAAAGAGCAAGAAAATCGAAACGGCAATGCCTGATAAAAGCAATAGGTAGCAGCAAGGAGCAGTTAGAAGGTGGCTGCTTTGGACACCCAGACGACCCCTTGTCCCACCGCCCACCAGACAGGAACGACAGCCTGTCCTTGCTAAGGTGATCAGCGCCAGGCAACCTGGGAGAGCAGCGGGACTGATTCAGGACACCGTACCTGAAGGATGACCCAGTGACCCTCCTTTGCAGCCAGATCCAGAGCTTGTTCAGCAACGACCTCCTGACCTTGTCCAAGGGAAACGTTGTGGAAATTCCTGTTGTTAAAAGTATAACCGAGTTTCTTCCCTAAAATCAAAGAAGAAGAGTGATATTCAGTACTTACACCTGGACTGGCACACAGCACAGCTGAGCTCACACAGCACGAGCCAGACAGAGTTCATACAACCATGGAATGCTTTGGGTTGGACAGAACCTTACAGCTCACCCAGTCCCAACCCCTGCCACAGGCAGGGACACCTTCCACTGGAGCAGCTTGCTCCAAGCCCCTGTGTCCAACCTGGCCTTGAGCACTGCCAGGGATGGGGCAGCCACAGCTTCTCTGGGCACCCTGTGCCAGCGCCTCAGCACCCTCACAGGGAAGAGCTTCTGCCTTAGATCTGACCTGACCTTCCCCTGTTTCACTTTGAACCCATCACCCCTTGTCCTATCATTACAGTCCCTGATGAAGAGTCCCCCTCCAGCATCCTCATAGCCCCCTTCAGACACTGGAAGCTGCTCTGAGGAGTTCAGTTGTGTCAAAACCCCCCACAGATCTATCACACTTCTTATAATAGTATCATGTCTCCTCCTTGCCAAAGCACTGAAAACAGCAGTTGCTTCTTCCAAACTACTTTTAATTACAGAGCAGCCCCAACCCAGAGGTACATTATCACCAAGTGCTTGCTGTTTAAACAGTGTTATTCCCCTGCAACCCCGTGTAAAAACCTATTTTACACTGGTAGAAAATGAAATCATTTCCTGCTGATTAAATAGGCTTTGAACAAGACACGGCTCTGCGGGGAGATGCACCCCACGGTGTGCGCCAGACCTAGCAGTAGGGTTCGGATCCCACTAGGTTTTGAGGAGGCAGCTGAAGTGTGAGCTTCCTGTGGCCTCGAGCAAGGCCTCCCAGGTCTGCTCCCAAACCCCACGTATTTTACTGTCCTGCTCTGGAGCACCGATGGCAGCTATTTAGTGTTTCTTCACTTTGGGACACTCCTTCAGACTCCACAGGTTTCTCTGTGGCATCCAGTGCCTCAGATCCTTTAAGTGATCGTGGCTAAAGATCTCACATTGAGTTTTGTGAATCTATCCCCCAGAGATGGGGGACACCAGTCACCACTTGTCTCACAGGAGAAGCAAATGCCTGGAGCAAGCTACCTCTGCTGAGTGCTCCTCAGATGAGCACCAATTTGTGCTGCCGGAGGGAAGCAGCCCAACCAACAACCGACATCCACACAGGATAGTAGGATGTGTTCAGCTCAGCCAGGGAGTCACACACGTCCCACATGCTCATCCCTTGGGATTGCCTACACTTCTCCCGGCATGCAGATGGTGCATCCTTGATTCCTGATTTCTGCTGGAAGCAGCCAAGTGTTACAGTACAACAAGGAAAAGATTTGTCTTGCAAGACTTGGGATTCAGCTCTTGGTACAAGATTGGAAACAGATGGCCACAAGTAAAACAAACATCCAAACTCTTCCAGTTGCTCAAGCTCTCTACTTAGCCTTACTACAGCAACCCCCAGGGATACAGCTCTCCCCTTATTGTACCATTTCCAGTTTTCTTTCTCACCATCTCTGGTGGCTGCCAACCTTGAGAGCTGCTAATCTCCTCTGCCTTCAAGACCCACCCTCTCAGAAGGAATGGCACATGCTTCCAGAAGGCAGAGTGCTCCCCCAAACCAGGTGATTAATAGCAAGGTTAGTATCAGTTGTTATTTCCACTTCACAGGTGATAGGAACAGGCCTGCAGAGGGATGCACAGTGAGTCTGTGCTGCTGCCTCAACAAAGACAATGCAGCCTTCTTCCTTCCTCACTGGCTTGGAGAGGAGAGCCGATGGTGCAGCCAGGCTGCCGCAGGGAAGCAGGAAGCTTTCCCAGCCCTAAAGTGTTTCATAGAATCCCAGCCTGGTTTGTGTTGGAAGGAACCTTAAAGCTCCTCCAGCTCCAACCCCTGCCACGGGCAGGGGCACCTTCCACTAGAGCAGCTTGCTCCAAGCCCCTGTGTCCAACCTGGCCTTGAACACTGCCAGGGATGGGGCAGCCACAGCTTCTCTGGGCACCCTGTGCCAGCGCCTCAGCACCCTCACAGGGAAGAGCTTCTGCAGGGTCCTCCCCGTGTTGCCATGGAAAGGTCCCACGAGTGGGCAGCATCTGGAAGAAGCCATCTTCCATTTACCAGAATTATCTAGCCAGAAATAAACCAATAAAACCTAATGAAGGGCAAAGAAAACATGCACCAGTGAACTCAACCCAAACCCCACCACGGCAGGCGTTAGGGCCAGAGCAGCTGCACTGAAGCAATGCTTTTATTCCATTAGATCTTCTTTCACTTTTACTTGCTGTCACTTTTCTGGCTGACTGACCCCAGGTGCTCACAGCTACACTCAGCTTTACAGTTCCAATTAAACCATTCCTGGCTGGATTGTAGTGTTTCATTTCCCGTTCAAGAAAATAACACATTGAGAGACAGGATGACCGACATGGCTCCAAAAGAAAGCCAGGCACATGAGAGCCCCTTTCTCAGGGGAATCCCCTTCAATTCACAATGATGAGACCTGGTGTCAGGGCAGAAAGAGCACGAAACATGAATGCAAAGTACCCGGAATCTCCCCACAGCTAAGAAATGGGATCTGGCCTGTGGCTCAGGCTGCTCTGGGGTTTAATGTCTCTGGAAGCTGCTTGTGGCAACATGGGTAAAGATGGACTGAAGCATTATTTTGGGATGCCACAAAAGGTGCATCACAGAGAAGAAAACAAATCCAGGGAGCAGCATTTCTCCCCCACTCGCCTGAGTGATGGCCTGGTTTGATGTTACTGGTTTACCTGCTGAGGCTGCCCGCTGCTTGGTCTGGAGACCTGCACACTGAAAACCTATGGCAGCTTGATACATGATTAATGCAATTTAAACACATCATGCTCCACGCTACAGGGAGCGTCTGGCCTTGACTACAAGGCATGGTCTTGGAGATAAGTAGGGTGCATTGCTGGAGAAGGAGAAAAGACATCTGACAAGCCTGGCAATCTGGAGCAGCCCTAAAGCAGTACCCAAAGGCATCCAGAGGGATGGAGCCCCTCCACTGCCACAGTCTGGAAAGAAGTGACCACAGTTACCTGTGCTCAACAGTCAGAAGCAACCCCATTTCCAGACCTCCTGTAATTGCCATATTGAGCCTGAAAATGGCAGTTTTCATGGTGGAGCTGAGACCCAGAGCAAACTCTGCACGTTGGCAGCTTTAGAGCACAAGCATTGACTACAGCAGTCAGTGCACAACAGAAATCACTGCCTTCTCAAATAAAGCACCTTAAAGACGCACCTTTGGCTCCGAAGCCAGCCAGCCGCACTTCATCTGAGCATCCACACCAAAACCAACACAAGAAGGATGCCATTAAAAACTGGAAACTCTGCTACTAACCAGCAGACTGTTGCTTACTTTTAACTATCACAGAGTCATAGAATACCATGTTGGAAGAGACCTCAAGGGTCATCTGGTCTAACCTGTCTTGGCAAAAAAGCAAGCTATCTGACAGCATATGATATATCTCTGATGTAAATTATAGGCTGTGTATAAGGCCAAGTCAGAAATCATTGAGTGTGAAAAACGCTGGGAATTCAGGCAATGCAGGGAAGAGACAAATTTAATTTAAACTTTGGATGAAAACCCAAAAAACTTGAAGAAAAACATAGAAAAACACCCCCAAAACCCAATCACATCCTGTCACAATTACCTATTTTTAACAGATTACTCCATTATGTATAGAGATGAGAGAAATAACCCATAACAACAGAAGAATGTCATGCCAAGATAATTACACAGAAGATAAAAAGCAATGCTGTGGTATGCCTACAGACATGACTGGTTTACCTTGTTTCTCCACATCCTTCAGTGGGTCGACTCCCGGGGACAGGATGAAGAACACTGGCGTCGCAGGTCCCGATTCCTCAAAGGTTGTTGCAAAATCCAGGGATCTCCCTACCACGTATTTACTGCCAAGCTTCTCCTCCACAAAATCTCTGCCAGAAAGAAAACAGTTGCCAGTCTCCTGTTGTTCAGAAAGGACAGATCCCCCTGCAAATAACCCATTAATCACTATTGATTTTGCTGATTCAAACAAAAGAGAAACTAAACGGGCATGGAATAAGGTCAGAGAGGATGGGCAGACAGGGCTTCAGGAGTTAGCACTCAGTGGCAGCACTTAGCACTTCTTCCCGGGGTAAAATGACACATGGCACCCCGATATCTGAGAAATGAAAGGAAGGGAGAAGGGAAAGCATGGGGCCTACCAGCCCAGGCTGCGTTCAGAAGTTAAATACCAACTTGATGTTGACAAAGGTATTTCAGGAGAGAAGAAATAAGTTACGGTACAGGAAACTGCCACGGACTTTGTACTCCCCAGAGCCCTTGAGAGGAAAGAGCACTCCTTCAGATTTAACACCAAAAGTAGCAGCAAGTGCAGAGGATTTTCAAAATGACTTTGTTCTGGAAAGATAAAAGGGAAGAGCTCTGAGGATATGTGGCACGTGAAGCTTAGCCTCTGCATGAGAGGCACAAGGCAAAATACAACTGAGTGAAGAGGGAAAAGCTCAGCTCCACGGCAGCTGCTGAACAGAATACAGCACATGGAGAACGTCCAGGCTCAATTTCCCTGGGGTGAGCTTCCAAAATCACTGCTTTAGAACAAGAGGATGCAATGAATATTGATCCAAAGCTAGGAATGTTGTATTCAAAGCCCGGGAACGAGTTACTCCTCTAGTGCAAATGCATGATTTGGGCCTTTTGGAAAACTCATTATCATGGGGAAGAAAAACGTTTTTCACCTGGTAGATGATACAGCTTATTGCAGTCAAATCCTAAGAGAGCTGAGAGTCTCCTTCAAGGACTAGTGAAAGGCAACTGGAATAGAAACGCCTGTGGGACTGCAAAAGGAAAAGCTTCCTCATTGTTTGGTATGACTTCACCTTCACCAAGTCATACCTTGCTAGTAGATAATGGACTGATCTGACCTCATCATGGATTAGGAAGCACCAGGAGCACAACGTGTTGCAAGAAGATCCTTGCTGATGTTCTTCTATAAGACTGAAGGATGAAATGGGTATTTACCCTAGTGAGGAAATTACAGTTCTTGGTGATTGACCTGGCCTTGCTCCATCCCTGGTGGTGTTCAAGGCCAGGCTGGACAGAGCCTTGGGAAAAACGGTTTGGTGTGAGGTGTCCCTGCCCATGGCAGGGGGTTAGAACTGGATGATCTTAAGGTCCTTTCCAACCCAAACTATTCTTTGATTCTGTGATTCTATGATGGATAACAGAGCCCTGCCCCCACCTAGGCTCTAAGGAGTCAGGGTAAGTGGTTTCTCCTCAGGCCTATGGAACAAAACAGCCTGTACAGATATCCCTAGCGATCTGTTATAAAGAGTGGCTGAAAAAACTAACTTCCAGTCCAGCAAAATGCATGAATCCTGTATAGGTGTGGGTCATTTTAGATACCAAAGAGCTTCCTAGACCATCTTCATGGAGCTGGCACATATGACATGGGACATAAAGGGTCTTGCACCTTGCTGAACAAGGTAGGGGTATCCCAAGGCATGTAAAACACCCCAGGTCACCTGTGCTTAGCTTACCAAGTTACTCCTAAAACATACTTGTCAAGACTCTCTGAGAGACAGGAAGGTAAAGGAATACTAGTGATGCCCACTGATCATTGGTAAGGCAGAAGAGCTTTAGTCACAAACACCTTCAAGGGAAGGCACTGCGAACTCTTACTGTATATCCAGCCAAGCTTTTGAACCTGGATTCTGCTATCTTCTCACAACAGGGGAATATGAAAGGTGCTGAAACTTTGCGTTCTAGTTATTTTTGAGCTGTGTGAGTACCATTCTGATTGAAAGAAATGAGTTTAACTTGCTTCAGTGAATTATGCACTTAAAAGTTTGGAAAGACAAGAGCTTATTTTACTCAAACCAAACAACAACAGGAAAAGCAGTATTTTCAGCTGACAGAACACATGGAGAATCTAACCCTAAAAGAGTAAGAACTTCAAAGATGGCTTAGAATTTAATGACTGTCATAAATACAGTATTTCATTTAATAAAACATAACAACACTGACCAAAGGGAGATGGCATTCTGTCTTGGCTGCATTTCTCTGTGGATATTAGAGCAAAACCAGAAATCTGGTTCATACACTGGGTAATACATTCTGCTGCATGTACCCACAGACACGCACACACCAGTTGCTGGAGCAATATAAACTATTTGAGAGGCAGTAGCAGGAGAGACATTGCAAAAATGTCAAACCACAGACTACTAGGAAAGAGAAGTTAAAAACAAGTCCTAATGGGGTGAAAGACCTTTAGTTTCTCCTGGAACAAGCATATTGCTTTTGTGCACCTCCATAGGGCTTAGGCTCGCCTGGTTCCCTTCACTCCATAATTCACAACTACAACTTTCACAAGTAGCAGCACATAAATTTTGTATTTTACAGGGGGAAAAAAAAGGCAAAAAGAGAAAACCTCTCTAAGGCTTTCCTTTACTTCCACATTTGATTCCTATGCCTAAAGAAGAGCCATAAAGGATTTAGTAACTAAAATAGAGCTTAATGAACTCTAGGAGTCATACTGATGGTTCTAGCAGGTGTGTATGATGATGCCCATTTCTGATCTGGCATGTCTGCTCCTCACCCAATACTAGTTTTACTACTCCACTGCTGTTAGTGATATTGGGATTAGATCTCCCTAAGCAAACTCCTGTTGACTGTCTTGCAGAGTTCAGAGGGGACTCATTGAGCAGACTCCCTTATAGGAAACCATTCTGCAGAACTCACATTCTATAATGACTAAACCTAAATGTGTTTCTGAATTCCTGCTGTGCCCCCAGAAACACCCACCAAAAGCTGCTTCCTAAGCAAGAACGTTCCCAAGACAGTTGGGAAGTGCCTGTACCTGACAGCATAGGTCATGCGATCGGGCCGGATGGCTCTCAGGATACACAGGCGCTGCAGGGCTGACTTGTTCTTCCATTCCTGAGGGAACTTCTCCTTTTCAGGACACTCAGACTCAACAAATTTCTTCCACCGTTTTGCAGACCCCTCAATATCCCGATCCAGGTTTCTGAATTCCTCCATGGATGAGAGAGCCTGGAGAAAAACAAGGACAGTTCTCAGAAGAACAATCCTAGGTGCTTCTGAACTGGTTTTTGACATTAATCACAGAATCAAAGAATGGTTTGGGTTGGAAGGGACCTTAAAGCTCCTCCAGCTCCAACCCCTGCCACAGGCAGGGACACCTTCCACTAGAGCAGCTTGCTCCAAGCCCCTGTGTCCAACCTGCCCTTGAACACTGCCAGGGATGGGGCAGCCACAGCTTCTCTGGGCACCCTGTGCCAGCGCCTCAGCACCCTCACAGGGAAGAGCTTCTGCCTTAGACCTAACCTGACCTTCCCCTGTTTCAGTTTGAACCCATCACCCCTTGTTCTATCACTCCAGTCCCTGATGAAGAGTCCCTTTCCAGAATCCTTGTAGCCCCCTTCAGACACTGGGAGCTGCTCTGAGGTCTCCACACAGCTTCTCTTCTCCAGGCTGAACAGCCCCAGCGACTGCTCCTGTTTTGCTGCATCAGGAGGGTCATAGCTGGAGCCTGGAAAGCACAGTCAGAAACCCACCAGGATCAGACTTTGTCCATTCTCTTTCCCAACTCTGTTGTCACACATTGTGAACAGGAATCCACATGTGAACAGGAGCCAACAGAGGCCACAGGAAAGTAGGACTGAGAACAGCTTCATACTTGTGGAAGGTCTGAACTGGCAAGTGTCTCAAGGCCACCCACAGAACGCCAGCTCTAAAATCATGCTGCACCTAACACAGTGTTCCATAATGCCCTTAACACCCATGCCCAGCCTGTGAAGCTACTGGTGGCACCCAGGCCCTCACCCCTGCAGTGCAACCACTGGGACAGGGGAGCTTGGGAGTGACAATCCAGAGAAGGATGAAAGAGTCTGGCATCATCCACAATGCCAAATAACCTGTCTATAACCCAAAGAGAACAGAAATCTGCTCTCCTGTTTTGAAACCAGAACTGGAAGATCACAGGCGACAAGCATTTGCTACTGTCAGTTATCCAGAAATGCCTGATTTGGATGGGAACCGGGAAAGGTGAGCCCAAGTGTGACAGAAGACATCACTGGCATTCCTGTTGCTGCATGCCTGCAAAGAGTCTTTGTACTGCTTCAACAGACACAAAGAGAACTGTGCAGCAGAAATCACAACCACTGGTGGAAAAATGTGCTTTTGTATTAAGGATGCTCAGGATCCAAAGCTCAACAGAGACTCTGACCACGCTCACCAAAACTGGGGTTTTAAGGGATAGCTGAAATATTTAATGATCTTCATCTTTCTTCACATGCAGTTATTCTTCTCTCCCTGTTCCCCTGGGTGTATTCCTCCGTACCTGCATAGCCTGGTGCACATGTTGTGCAACCACAGCACTGTGTATTCACCATGCAGTTGTGGTGACCATGGAGCCACAAATCTCCACAAGCAGTGCAAACTGTGAATGGGTGGGATCTTTTCTTGGACAAGCACAGATATCACCCTGCACCACTGCCAAAATCAAATCAAAGTTCTGGTGTCCTCAGCATGAAAAGGACACGGAACTGTTGGAACAAGTCCAGAGGAGGCCACGAGGATGACCAGGGGCTGGAGCACCTCCTGTGTGGAGACAAGGTGAGGAAGTTGGGGCTGTTCAGCTTGGAGAAGAGAAGCTGTGTGGAGACCTCAGAGCAGCTTCCAGTGTCTGAAGGGGGCTACAAGGATGCTGGGGAGGGACTCTTCATCAGGGACTGTACTGACAGGACAAGGGGTGACAGGTTAAAACTGAAACAGGGGAAGTTTAGATTGGATATAAGGAAGAAATTCTTTACTGTAAGGGTGGTGAGGCACTGGAATGGGTTGCCCAAGGAAGCTGTGAATGCTCCATCCCTGGCAGTGTTCAAGGCCGGGCTGGACAGAGCCTTGGGTGACATGGTTTAGTGTGTAGTGTCCCTGCCCATGGCAGGGGGTTGGAACTGGATGATCTTGGGGTCTTTTCCAACCATAACTATTCTATGATTCTATGATATATACTTGCTAAGTGCACATGGAGATTAACTTCTTGGTGCTACAAGTCTGTGGCAGAAAACAGGTAGCTGAAGAATGCCCCAAAGAACAGCTCAGCAAGGCAGTAAATAAACTATAATGACAAAGAAAATGTAGCTACATTTTGTAGCTAGAATGTGGCGACCATGCACGTTATGCGGAGAAATAAAGAACCCAAATAATCTCCCTTACAAGCAGTGCAAAGCGTATGGCACAGCTTGCAAGGTTCTTCTGGATGTCGAGCAAAATTCTCGCTGTAACCAACATCTTCAGAGCATTTTGCATAATCTGAAGCTGTCAGCAGTTGAACATGAAGTGGAAAAGACAAGTGAAGTATAAAAGAGAGTGAATGAGCTGTTTTCTATAGAAACAGAAGGGCACACTCAAAGCGCAGAAGCTTCTTGATGGGCAGTGGTGTTCTGCAGCATCGATGCTCCAGCTCACATCCCTCACAGCTTCACTGTGCAGAGCAACTGAGGGAGCACCTTGAGAAATGCTGCTGTGACATCTTGGTCAGATCAACTGCAGAATACACACTTGCCACAGGGCTCTGAGAGTCATGCAAGAGCCCTGGCAGTAGTGCTGAGGGACTGCCTTGGATATGGTGCTGGTGCAAATGAGGCAGAAGACACTGATGGCCACTCTGCCCTAAAAACTGGAGAGAGCCACACTTCCCCACTGGAAAGGCTTCCCAGTGAGAACACAAGAAGGGGAAAACTTTGTTCTTTCTGATGGACTGAACTTCAATGCAGAGAGTCAACAAAGGGAAAGAAGGTGTCAGAAAAAGGGGCTTCTTAGAACAAATGAGTTCATGTTTTTAGCAGTGGGGATGCCTGTAGATGACAGAGAGAAAGAGTTTGTCAAGCTGTTCCCAGTAGGTACTACTGACCCGGAACATTTGTTAAATATACCCTCACAGCATCACAGGAGCAATGCTTGGAAGAAACCTCTGGAGGTGTCTAGTCCAACCTCATGCTTGGACTGGGACTACAGCCAGTACTGGAGCAGGTCAGCCATGGCTTTGTCTACTGAAATGCTGAAATGGGAGTGCTTCATTCTAAGCCTCTCTGGGTGCCTGTTGTAGAGCTGCACTGTCCCTCTGGTAAAGAAGATTTTAGGGGTTTATGTATGCTTATATATGCTGAACCTCCCCTACCTTCAGTTTATCACAGTTGATCCTTATGACATTCACTGTCAATAACATGGAGTGTGTGGCTCTGTCACCTCACAGCTGGAGAAATCCCTTCACCTTTCCCCACAGGCCATGTGCTCTAGGACCAGAATTAGAGCTATAGGGAGAAAAGTACTTGAAGATATTACTATAAAGCTGCTGTGCCAGGTCAAGCCTTACTTGAAATCATCATTCCATCGACAGCTCCACAGAAGGCTCAGATAAGAGCAGAGTGCTTGCAATACCACTTGAGAGCTACAGCATGGACTGACTCAATCTGGTACAGACCCTCTCCATGCCAAACTCTCAGGGATCCTAAGAATGCCATGAAGGAGTGTGAGCCAAGCAGCAGTTCAATGGATGTTTCCATGTATAGATCAGCACTAACATGGAGAAACGGCAGCGACAGAAGAACTTGCTCCACATCCAGCGCCATACCCTGCTTTCTGTGGGACGCCAGAAACCAGAGCACAGAACTCGAGGAACTGAAATTCACAGGAACAAACCCATGGATCCTGACCTGCAAAAACCTTGCCCTTGCAGCAGTAAATATATTTGATGCACCTCTCATTGCTGAACACATTACGGTAGCCAACATTGAATTCAGCAGATTCCTCGGTGCAAGTGCTTATACAGAACATCTTAAACACTGTCAGCTTTGGAAGTGACTTACTTAAAATACCACTTCAGAACTTTGGCTGCTGTTGCTTCGAGAAGTCTCCTGGTTGATGTTAACAAGGGAGACTGTGAAAAATTGCTTTCTTCTTTCTAAATGACAGACATAATCAGGGATGATAGGCTCCCTCCCCCTGAACAACACGCTGCAGCATCAAGCAAGCTCTAATTGCAAGGATAAAGTCTGTGTTACATAAATTAACACGAAAATTTTCATTAGTCAACAATTTTAATTGCGTGCATTAGGAGTGATGGTATTAATAAGAGATGCTGCTATTTAAAAGCCCGTGCAGTGAAAGCTATCTCAATCAGTAATCTTCCTGTGAATATTAATTGCTTTTCAATACCTCTGCTGTGAAATCTTCCAAGAAACTTGGACCAACAATACCTATCAGTGTTTCCAAGCAGCAGGAGGGAAAGCAGGTATGGTACATTGCCTCGGCAGATGGGTACAACACATCAACCTGTGCTGCGTGGCTATTTTTGCCAACACAGTGAAGAATGCATTTGTCAGTGAGAGTTGTCATGGAAATTGAGAAAGACAAAAAAACATTGATCAAAATAAAGCGTGATCAAAAGGGCTCGAGGACTCGAGTTCCTGTCTTTGCAACCCACGTTCTAATCAACACTGATTGTTGGAAACAGTGGAGCCTTGAGTTCCTATCTCAGAATGAGACTTTGCCAGCAAAACAGGTCTCTTCACACCATGTCAAGGCAAGGATCATTGTTTCCTCAGATAAAATGCTTTTTCATTCACTGAATCACAGACAAATCGCTTTAGCACTTTGGTTTTCTCTGACAGTTTCTCATCTATGTCAGAACCAGCTTTAAACTGGAGCTGGTATGTGAGCAGATCTGCGAATTTCACACATTCACACATGGCAAAGCGTTCTCTTTCTCCCCCACAGCTGTAGGAAACACAACGTGTGTCAGCCATCGGCTTTGAGGAAGGAATCCTAGTTGCCATTGCAAGGGCTGGTGTGCTCACAGGGTGTCCCTGACACACGAGGGGAGAGGGGATCTTCGCAGTGTCTCGGGGGACAGGGAGATGGACACTAGGAGGAGATGCCACACTCCATCCCCTCACTGCCTGCTGCCTCCAGAGGATGGGCTGAGTCTGTAGCTGAAAAGAACAACTTTGGGTCTAGTGTCACTGCTG